AAAGGGCTTCAAATTTGCATTATTTTCTTCCATAACTTTGCGAAATTCATCAAATGAGTATAACGTTAGCATTTTTTTCCCTATTTTCACGATTATATAAGATATTAGTCATTATTTCTACTGCTTTGAAGAGGGATAAAATAGAGGGTGAGGGTGGTGGTTCTGAAGGCAGAGGCAGAGGAGGAGGTGGAGTTGGAGGTGAAGGTAGAGGTAAAGCTTTTAGAGCATGTTGTTAAAATTTAAGCGAATAATTTACCACAATTTCATTATAACAGTTTAAGCAAATTACATCACCTATTTGTAGATATCTTGGTAAAGTATTGTTAGTTTGACCTTTTGCAATAATGTACTCAGTTACCTTTTTCTACTATGCTGATTGCTTAGTTTGGCATATTGTAATTACACATAGTTCAGTAAGCATACTTGTCTTTTAAGTAAAGTACCTTTAGATTTTGAACTATTTTGGGATTATTTTGCATAGTGAGTGTTAATACACTTTTGAAGCTGAAAATAAAAAAAAATTTTATTTTTATAAGTGAAACGTTATATTCTCAAAAAGTACTTTAAACTGTATAAATAATGTTCTCCGCAATTGAATAAGAATGACGAATCATGTAAAAGTCTTTCTATGATAGAAACATATGAAATTTTGCTAAAAAAAATTAACAGTTTTTGTTATTTAGTCTACTAGATTAATATTGAAGATATATATAGACCTTTTTTAATGAATTATACTTATCATCTAATCCTTCTTTGAAAAATAGAGATTCACAAGAATGAGCAAAAAAACAGCTCTTATTTATATACTACTTTCTCTGTGAAATTTAGAACAAGTTCATTAATGATGCTAAAAAGGACTTGACGATGTATCTAGATTCTACAGGTGCTTCTAATACTTCTATAAATACCCTTGCTGATTTAGGTGTAACTATGACATCTTGCACAGTTTCTCGATATAAAACAACCATATTCGAAGAACATATCAAGACTGTTAATTCAGCACTTGCTGAATATATGGAGAATGTAATGGTACTAAATATCGACGATTACCATAGCATTCACACGAAACGAATGCTAAATATAACTACTACATCAACTGCTATCTATCTGGCAACAATTTTGATAAATCCAATTATGACTCAACATCAATTCCAAAAATGAATATACATAACCCTGTTCTAGTTGATGCCGAATTGATTAAAACTAATATAGAAAATAAGTTTATGAGTCTTTCTGGTCTTTTGCATAACCAGCGTTGGAGATTTCATATGGTTGATGATGATACAAGATTGAAGGAGCTAACTGTACATAGTTATGATATTAGGTTAAAGGAGAAATGAAATATCCGTTCGATGAAGAATGTCATTCTTATAGATTTACAAGAAAATAACCTTATTCTTTGAATGCATACATTAAAGCTATTAACACCATTGTAGATGTTCCATCTATACAGCAGTATATTCAGCAAGAAAATATCATCCCCATTGTGGCTGATTGGTCTGAACAGATTTATCTTAGAACAGCTATTTCACGCTACTTATGTTATCGTGATTCATCAAATATTACTAACAATATTTTGTCTTTCCTTCTTATTATAGGTCTTCTGCATATTTCACTAAATAGCCGAGAATTGGTTTTCCTTCAGTATCAATCTTTTTTTTCAGCCATATACACATATATTTTTGGAGAAAATAAAAAACTTGCATAAAAACCCAAGCCATAGCATATCAATCTTCTTTTAGAGATTTCCTGCAGTGCCTAGTAAGAGGTTTCTATAACCATCGAAATGAAATTCAGACTTTTGTACAAAGATGCTGAATATCTTATACTTAAAGATCTTCTTGACAATACAATTCCACTTGTGCTGGATATTTATGCTGTATTTTTCTGGTCAAATGATTTTAATGCATACTTAGAAGCTTGCTTTTATGTTTGGATAATATTTCTTAAATTTCATCGTAGAAACTATACCAAGATGCCATTGATATTTCTTTCCGATATCTTTTATTGGGAGTTAAACAATCACCAAATTCTAGAAACCATCAAGGCTGAACTTCTGAAGTTCTCAGACTTGACTGTGAAAATCTTTCATAGCTTTTTATGCAGAAGTACGCAGAAACACACAAATGCACAACAAATCATTAAATATGAGCATTTCATTAATCATTTGCGTTTGGATGATAATGGATTTAGAGAAAATTTTACGCATACATCTACATGGCAACATATGAGTATTCTGCATAGGATATAATAGCTTTAATAAAGAAAAGCGCTTGTTTTCTATTGCAATATTTTTCAGAAATTTATACGCGCTTATTTCACCATAAACTAATAATATCATTTCCATTACAGATCAATCTATCTCCAAAGAAGAAGTGTGAAGAAAAGAATGATATCCTTTTAGTTGCAATGAAGATGCTAAAAGCACAATTACGTCATCTTCCTTTGGGTTTCAATACTACACATAAACTATATCAATTTCATTACTGTGATGCGGCTAATTGTTTGATTCCTTCATCTATTATTGCAGACAATCCTATTGAAATTCTAGCTTGCAGCCATATATATTATAGATCCTGTTACAGTAACAATGAGTTTAAATACTTGCATTGTCTCTCATTCTTATGCAACGGTATTAATGAACATGTTCAATCTTTATTACAATCTTTGCAAAAATGAAAAGAGCAGGTTGTTGAACCAGAAAATAATATTCCTTGCGATGGTAATGATGATGAAAGTGAACCCATAAAATATGTAGCATATGCATTAGAAGAGGCATTACGTAAATTTCAACAACAATAGATCGTTTAAAAGGATAACTTCATTTAGAAAAGCATTTTAATTGCAATAAAAATAAAAAATTTTTTACAATTTTTTTTTTATTTATAAAAACTAAGACTATTATATAAAATTAATAAATTAAACTAATTTTTGAAACAAAGGTTTTATTTTAAATACTTTAATTTATTATACATTTAAATGCTAAAATAGTTTATTAAATACAATAGTTGAATTTTATTATCACGTAATGTATCACGTGACATGTATAAATATTTACAGTATCAATTATAAAATTCATATAATATAATCAGCCAATCATGTGAAAGTTCTCCTATAAATGTTTCTATCATATACCTTATCATATTTCTTATTATTTATCTTAAAATCTGTTATAATTATATATAAGGCATTAATTATTCGTTTATAATTTTTAAATTCTATAAAGTTATTAATCTTTTTTTGAAATATTTTTAATTTTTTAATAATTTACTTTCTATCTAAAACAGTGATCTTAATGATTATCTTTAAATTTTACAGTTTGAAGTTTATTTTACATCAATTGTAAAAATATTTTTTACTATGATGTTTTATATTTTTGAATATTAATTTATTATAATTCTTAATCTATAGAAAATAATTCTTTTACCTATACTTAGTTTCTTTGAGACTCTTTTCATCTTCTATTTTGTAATATTTGTGTAAGTTATAAGATCAATAATATAGAGTTTATTAAAGTTTTACTATTGTTATAGACTTTAAAATTGTTATTTTTTCTTTTTATTTTTAAATATTAATAAAGATATCTGGATTTATCTTCTCAATCTTTTTGATTAATTGTTAATAAACTGATATTATCATAGGAATATCATCTAGTTTAACTTTTTTTAAATATGACTGAAATTTTTTGCTTAAAAATTCATTCAAAATATTCTATATTCCTATTTTAATAAGTAAAGTATACCCCTAATACTTCTTAAAGACATTTTTAGATAATATATTTGTTTTTAAATTAATTATACTTTGATTATTTAAATTGACTGTATATTTTTTGTTAGCAAATAAAGATATAGGAACCTCAATGAGTTTATTAAAAGATATATAAGGCCTTTGCAATAGAAAAAAAAGAAACAGCTAGAAAAAATAAAAAACAAGTTAATGCTAAATCTAAACATATTTTGACTTAAAAATCATATTTGGCTTATAAAGTAAAATTGATTTTTTTCTGACTATTTTTTCTCTTTCTATTGCAAAGATCCTATATGTCTCAAAAATTATCATATCTATTCAGATTAGTTGTCAAGATAATCTATATATAAAAATTCTTCAATTTTCTTATCTATTTTTAAATTAGTATACGTTATATAATCACTTATATTATTTTCAAAAAATTAGATTCATAATATGTATTTATAAATATATACTTTATTGTATCATCTTTTAATGTATTTTTTCTAATATAATTACTATATATAACTAATAAAGATTTTATTTCTTTCTTTTTATTAAGTTCTATTTGTAGAACTCTTATAATTTTTTTTATGTAACTGCTATAAGTTGATGTATATATGAAACTTTTGCATAATTTTTTCTTCACCTATTATGTTATTAAAAACATTTATTAAATTTACTTTTTAAGAGACTATAGCTTTCTATTTACTTAATAAAGTCAGATTCTAGTAGATCTTTTTAGATTTTTAACTTAATTTTTTCTCAAAATATATATTCTTCTCTAACATATATTTATTTGTATTAAGAATTCTGACCAATTCTAATAAATTTCTTATAACTTCTTCTTATTCTTTAGTTTTTCTTCTATCATATTTAATTCTTTAAGAAGTTTATAATCATTTATCTGCTTTATAAATTTACTTTTCTTTTGTCTTTCTTTAAATACTTAGGTTAGTAAATCTGATTTAAAAATTGAAATTTTTGCTTTAAGATTAGAAGATTATGCTCTAAATATAATAGTGAAAGAAATCTCTAAACAGGCTCAGATTTTTGAACTGTAATAATTACTTATAGTTCAGAAAATTAAGGAATCTCTTTAGGATTAAGTCTAGAATAAGAATTTTTTCAATAAAAATATTTTTTTTTAAATATGCTATTTATTCATGCATCTTTTAAAGTTATTTTTTCTACATCAAGAACATATAATATCATTTTTTATATTCATATATAAGTATTCAGTTATTTGTATTAATTTATAAAAAATTTTATTTAAAATAAATATTTATCTTAGGATATTGATATTCTGATACTTGTATTAATATAATAAGATTTTTTTTTTAAAATAAAATATTAATTTCTTATTACTATTATAAGCAAATATTCTTGCAACTATTTACTCATAACTGGAAATATTTATAAGTATATCTACTATTATTCTAAAGGATGTTATAAATATTAAAAGGCAACCTATATTTTTTTTACACTTATGCTAAGAAAAATTTATATCTAACCATATTTTTTACATTTATATCAGAAAAATTTACAAATTTTTTAATTTAAGAT